TTGAAAGCCATACTTTCCCTAGTACCTCTGACTGTTTGCTGGCAGGTGAAGCAGAAATCAGGTGTCTTGTTCTATTTATTTCGCGTGTACATAGCGTATTTGCGCCCGGCAGAGACGCAGAGGCCGCGACAGGCAGCGGGGGGTGGGGGGCAGGGGTGGGGTCGGCCGTCTGCTTGGGTTCGTTTTCGATGCACTGTTTGCCCCCAGCCTGGCTGGGGCCGGGGAAGCCTGGGGAAATCGCTGTATATAGGGAGGGGCCGGGCAAAGATCCCCCCCTCCTGTCCTGTGTAATATAGACCCCCCCAGCTCCTGCTTGCAACGCAGCACGCGTGTCAGCGCGGGGCCAGGCTGCGGCATGCTTACCTCTGAACCACACCTGTGTGCACGCGCCAGGGAGAGGGGCAGCGGCAGTGCACGGGACCCCTGGGGTGGGGGTGTGCCAAGGGAATGGGCACGTGGGGGGCTGCTATGCGTGGGCTCGTGTGTGCCCTCCCCTCCTTCCACCAGGCAGGACCTGGTCTGACCTGGGGGGGCAGGAAACTTCCTGGGGCACCCCCGCTTGTCAGACCCCTGCCCCTGCCTCTCCTCCAGGTGGGCAGTGGGGGGGGGGGGCAGTTTTCCAGGCAAACCAAAGCACCCCCCCCCCACACCAAGCAGGGTGCACCCGAGAGCAAGGCCGGGGGACCCCAATGCTGCCCCCTGCACTGTTCGCAGCTCCCCCCCTGACCCCCCCCTGCCAGGGCAGGAGGCAGCTGGCCCGTCCCAGCCCCACCGCACCCCTGGGTAGGGGGAGAAGGAGCACGGCCCAGCCGAGACCCCTCTGCCCCCCACCCTGGCGTCCGCCCGTCCCGTCTCCCCACGTGGCAGCGCCGTGCCCTGTACATGTGTACAGCCCCCCACGGGGACCGTTGGTTTGTTTTTTTTCCATGTAAACACTAAAAACAGAAAACAAACAAAAAAAACCCTCAAAAAAAGGGAAAAAAAAGAAAGGAGGAAAAAGAAAAAAAAGAGGGGGGTGGGGGCGGGGGGAGGAAGCAAAACGAACACAAACCCCAAGGAGGAAACAAAGGTTTTATGAGCAGCAAACTCTATGTAAAGGCCTTTTAGTATGGAACTTTTTTATTGATAACTTGGCTTATAAATAAATATATGAAATGGCGGCAGTGCCCGCAGCTTTTTCGGGGCCGGGGTCTGGGGCAGGGGAGGGGGTGCTGAGGGGCCCTGGCGGGCAGGGGCACCAGCCCCTGCTTGGGATCTGCTGCTGAGTAGTGGGGCTGGGGGCTCAGGGCCAGGCTTGGCACTGGGCTGATGTGAGAGGGGGTCACTCCAGCATCCCCTGGTGCAAGGGGTCCGCGCTCACCTGGGCTGCCCCAGCCTTGCCCCAGGGGCTGCCAGCAGGAGCCAGGGGCATGGGCACTCTGTGGCATGGGGCAGGCCTCCGAGCCTGCAGCCAGCCCAGGGAGGGGTACAAGGGAGATACCAGGTGGGGAACACGGGAAGGCAACTGCGGGGCCCTGGCATCCCCCGATTGAGGCTGTGCCATCCTGCGGGTACACACCAGCCCAGCACAATCCGGTGCTAGCACCAGTCACCCTCCAGCTCCCTAGTATGAGGGGTGGGTGCAGCACCGAGACACCCCGCACTGCAGGCCTGGGGTCTTGAGTGCCCAAGTCCTGTGGAGACCTGCAGGGCTCGAGGCTGGGGTGGACTGGGGCAGGGGAAGTGCCCTGCTCCAGGGAGGCTGCGTCCATGGTCTGAGCCCTGAGGACCGTGTAGCCCATGGGGTATCAGTCTGAGCCCTTCACCCCCTGGTCTGTGCCCCCACCTGGGTGGCCCCACTAGGTCTCTGCTGGGAAAGGGACTAGGCATCTGCCTGTACCCAAGGGATCGGCCCCAAGCCAGGGCAGGGCCTGGAGCCCACCCAGAGCTGCCCACTGTGCCAGGTTGCTGGCTACCAAGAACAAGGGTCGGGGGCGCAGCCCTGTCCATGCAGGGTGCCATAGGGGCTGCACAAGGAAGGGGCAGGAGAAGCGAAGCAGAGGCCAAAGGCAGCTTTACTGCAGAGCAGCTGGCACCAGCGGGGCATGAAACCCAAAGCGGTTCCCCCTACCCTCACCCACCCGGCACAGCATGGGTGGCTTTGCCAGGCAGCAACTCCCAAGGCACCCGTGATCCAGAACCGGTCACCTCGGGCAGGACCGGGGGCCTGGTATGGCCAGCACGGACTCCTGGGTTCTGGTCCTGGCTCACCAGCTGCGCGCCGGGCACAGCAGTGCTGCAGCTGGAAGAGACGGTAGAGGGCACCTGGCAGCAAAGCCCCCCAGCTTGGCTAAGGCCCCTCGGGGTGGGACACCGCCGGGACCAGGCCACGGATAGGACCTGCGCCAGCCGTGCACGGGGCAGTCAGCATCAGGGACCCGGGTGTCCTGCCGAGGCGGGGGGTGCATGGGGAGCAGAGCAGGGGCAAGCAGCACCAGAAGCCCCCCTAGCTCCTGCCTGGTCTGCTGGGAGCCCCGGGGCCCCACCCCAGCCAAACCCACTCCTGCCCTGCAAGAGGCATCTGGGGCAGTCCCAGCGCCCCCCCCCTTGCCTACACCCTGTGCACCCCACTCCTTGCACACCCCAGGCACCCCTCCTTGCACCCTGTGCAAGCCCCCTCACACAGCTCCCCCCCATGGAAACCCCTCATGTACCCCAATGCACACCACCCCTGCTCCTAGCATTCCCAGGGCACCCCGCGAATACCACCTTGCACTCTGCTCCTTGCACATCCCCAGTGCACGCACTCCTTGCACAACCCCCTTGCATGCTGCTCCCTGCCCAGCCCATGCAACCCCCCTGTACGCCCCTTTGTATACCCCCATGGAAACCCCTAATGCAGCCCCCTTGCACACCCCACCCCCACTCGTACCCTGCTGCGTGCAAGCCCCCAGTGCACCCCCTCCTGGCACCCCGCCTTGAGCCCTGGTGCTTGCACACCCCCGTGCAAGGCCCCCGAGTGCCTCTCCTTGCACACACCCCTCGCGTGTAAGCCCCTCATGCACTCCCCCCTTGCACACGCCCCGACCCCGGCAGCCGCGAGCGAAGCCGACCCCACGTGGGGGCGGACGAAGGGAGGCGGGGCCAGGCGACGCCGGCGCTCGCCATTGGACCGCCCCGCAGCCAACCGGCGGGCGCCGAACGGCGACCTCGCGCGCCCATTGGCCGCCGCCGCTCCCTTTTGTTCTCCGCCAGCCAGAGCGCCCTTAACCCCTGCACTGCCGCGGGCGCCGACGGGCAGCAGCAGCGGGGCACGCGCGGGGGGGCGCGGCCAGGCCCCCCGGCCCCGCCCCCTTCCAGTGGGAAACTGAGGCAGGAGCATGGCAGGGCCCTGCCCTCGCACCAGCCCCATGCCCCTGGGGCCTTGGCAGTGCGGGGGGCCCTGCCAGGCGCCTCATGCCCCGCTGCAGCCTGAGCTAGGGGCACCGGTGGGCTCCCCAACACCCCCTTGCTGGAGCCAGGCCCACAGGCAGGCCCCCCAGGGGTTACTCCTGGCGCCCGGGCCCCAGCAGGCCGCCCCCCTGGCCCGCGGATCCCATCTGAGCCCCAGGCGCACAAGTCACCGAGGAAGCAAGAGACGAGGCGGGCGCGGCGCGTGCCAGCGGTACAGGGCTGCCCTTTTCTGCCCGGCTGGTCGGGGGGGATGCCGCAAGGGGCACCCCCGCCAGAGCAGCCAGTGCTGCATGCATGGAGATGCAGCACACGCCCCCTGCCCAGCACCCCACTTGCAAGCGGGGGGCAGGGAGCATCACAGAAAAGGGTGCGTGGTGTCTCCCCGGGGGCCGAGCCACCCAAGATGCCCCCCACCCAGAACCGAGGCGCCCCGCTGACCTGGCATCCAGCGCCGTGTAGGCCTGCTCTGGCTTGGAGCACGCCCGACCCCCAGGATTGATGGACGCGCCTACCTGGAGCTGGTTCCTGGTCTCCCATCCTGCCAGGCTGCCTGCAAAGCAAAGCAAAGCAAAGCAAAGTGAAGCAGCACCCCAGGTAGCGTGTGGAGCCCGGGCAAGTTCAACCCAGCCCAGTCCAGCCACTAGGCCCACGCCTACCCCAGGCAGCAGCTCCTACCCCTGGGTGTCCCAGGGCCAAATAGTAGAGAGTGCCATTGCTCCTCCTTATATAGGGCATAGTGCCCCCGGGGAAAACTGTCCCCCAGATCCCGCTTCCCTGCCCAGCTGGTTCCACCCACTGTGCTTCACCCGCCAGCTTGATGGGGCTGGAGGGCTGCCAGGGGCTGAGAGCAGAGGATTTTTGGGGTGGATGCACCTAGCAAACCGTCCAGAACTGCAGACTCCAGGCCCCGGCTGCAACCCAGGCTGTAACCCTGCTGGGCATGGGGCTGCTGCTGTGGAGGGTCTGCCCACGTGGGGGCCAGACGTCCAGCATCCTGCCACCTCTGTCGTGGCGCGTGCGCTGTGCTCCTGCCTGCCAGGCTGCCCGTCTCATGGCAGTCGAGCCCGGGCTGTGGCAGGTTGGGGGCCTGGAGCACCAGGAAAGGACGGCGGGTCCTCTCCGGCCTGCCCCAGCCCCTTCCCACGCCAGGCTGAGGCCAGGCAATGGGCCAGGGGGAAGGTGGCTATGCCAGGCAGGGCTGGGAGCCAACAACCCCCGGGCTGGCGGTGCAGGGAAACAGCTGGAGGAGGCTGCGGGCCGGGGGGGGCAGGACTAGGGCTGGAGCTCCCACCCCCGCAGCCCAGCCCTCAGCCTTGCAGGACCCTCATCTTGCCCCCCTGGAGCCCAGCACCTAGCCTCTGCCCCTCCGCCTGTCCCAGAGGGGCGGCATGGGTACCCCAGGCACCCAGAACAGCTGAGCACTGATCTGGACTCCGTTCTGCTCCCAGTATGGTACCCACGCTACCCAGAGTGCGCAGCCCGACGGGGTGCCCAGCGCCAAGGCTGAGCACCAGGGGCCGGGGTGTCCAGCTGTCCCAACCCATGGGCACATGCCACGCTGGCCCGTGGCCCAATCCTGGCCCTGGAGCAGTGCAGCGCTGCCCTCTAGTGCCTGCCCTGGGCACGGCCGGCTGGCCTGGGACAGGGTCAGGGACAGCGGGCAGGTGTGGACCCCGCGGGCCTGGCTCGGGGACAGGGAGCCCTATGGCTCTGGGGCCGGATGCCCAGGCGCAGCTTGGACCCCCAGGTTCAGGCTTTGCTGCCTTCGATCACCAAGCCGGAGCCTCTACCGTCTCCGCCGGGGCGTAGACGTCTCCCCTCAGCCCGGGAGCAGGCGGCTGGGGCTGTGCCGCCAACGTGCTCCAAGCAGGAGCCCTGGATGGGCACAGGTCAGCCTGTGAGCAGGGTCCCCAAGGCACAGCAGCCAGGCCCTGTCTAGTCGCTCTGCTCCCTCTGTGCCGAGAGCCGCCCCCCACAGCCCAGCAGGCAGCACAGAGCCCGGCTGACCGGGGCCAGCTTTGCATCCTGTGCAGGTTCAGCCCTGGGCATGGTGGGCAGAGGCTGGTGCCGTGGGCAAGCCCTCATCAGAGCAAATCCCCACGCTCCAGCAGATGCAGCCTGACCTCTGCTTGCATCCCCATGCTCCCCCAGGCAACGTCTGCCCCCGGCCTGCTGGAAGGAAGCTGCCCACTCCCTGCCCCTGCTGTCCCTCCCCAAGCCTCAGGAAACAGGGTGCCAAGTGCTCTCCAGCTGGAGACTCAAATGCTAGGTTAAAGCTGGGGCTCAGCTGCCCAGGGCTCAGAGGCCTTTGTTTCCCTCTCCAGCAAGTGGAGACCTGTCTCTACCTAGAAATAGGCAGGGACTGTGGGGCAGGGCTAGCTGGTATCACCTGGGCATCCGGCACTCCCAGTGCCACTGGGGCAGGCAGGGAACTCAGGGAAAGGGGAATCAGGGTAAGGCAGGGAAGAGCAGCCCCTGGGGCCTGCAGCCTCCCCCTGCCCTGGGTACAACCCTGCGCTCCACCCAGCGTCTGTCACCCACAGGGCAGCATGGCAAGACTCATGGGAGAGCCCCATTGCAGAAGGAGCTGCCCAGTCACTGCTGGTGCCACAGGCTGCAATCCACAGCTCCAGGCCCAGAGCCATGGAAAGCATCTGGGGCCCTGCACGGACAGGGGCTGCAACACCCCCGAACTGGCACGGTGACTGCTGCCCTGTAGAAATGGGCACCAGGCCCTTGGCCTCATCAGCTTCCTGCCTGGCCACAAGGCACCTGGTTCTGTCTGGGGATGAGCAAAATGAGCCGCTCTGACCACAGGCCAAGTGAACCAGTGCCTTTTGGCTATGCCAGCTGCCTGTGGAGCAAGGAGCCAGTGCCACCCTCACTAGGACAGCCACCAGGCCAGGCCTGCAGGCAGCCCAGGGAACCAGAGACCCCAGGGGGCTAGCAAGGATAAATGCATTTGTATCAATGGGATGAGCATGGCTGCAGGGGTGGCCACTGTCTGCAGAGGAAGGCTGTGAAGCAGCTCCATGCCCACCTGGTGTGGACAAGCTCAGCCCTCTTAAATTTATCAGGGCTGACAGCCCAGCAGCCCTGTGTGTGTTTTTCAGTTGGAGGGTGCTGGAATCTCACAGCAAGAATGAGTAGGGAGGAAGGCTGCGCCCAGCTCGGGGGTAGGTGCTGTCCCTTAGGGCTTGGCCCTGCCAGGCCAGACCCAGGCACCTGGAAGCAGCTACTCCTACACCTCCCTGGCTGCAGGGAAGAGGGAACCCCAGACTTCAAGTCAAACCTGAAATTCAAGGCACATCCAGCCACGAGGCAGCCTGGCCAGCCTCCACCATGCCTGCTCCATCACTGCTGACACCTGCTCAGCAGGTAGGTGTCTGCTTTTAGACTAGGCAGAGCAAGCTGCACTCCTGTCATGCAGCTGCCAGCTTCCCTTGGGAAGGGAGCTGGGCCCTTGTCTCAGACCTGGACACAAGGCTTCTCCCCCTGACAGAGGCTCCCCCACCTAGCAGGGGGCAGCACAGCAGGAAGGACAGCACACGCATGTCATTTACTGCAGCGCTTTTATTTTCCTTACAATGACGTGTTGTCGGGCATTACAATTCTCGACCTTGGGATGACTTACAAGTTTTGGTTTTCTACTGTCATGTGAGAACATTAAGGCAACGTACAAAAAAAAATCTTACATAAATTAAACGGGATGCAGAAATTTACAGGTGTAAATGCAGAGTTTCAGCAACTCAAGTCGAGTTAACTTTTAGCCCCATGTGATGTCTTGCTGGGATACAGGTGGGTGGGAAGATGGAAACGGGTTCCTAAGGCTTGGATGTGATATGTTTTTCCAACCTTGCTAGAACAGCAGCAACAGAAGTGAACTCTTTGATGGACTCCTACCAGCCTCTACATGAAAACCTGGAATACTCAGCGCTTTACAGATTGGAGTCTGACCTCAAATACCCTGTACAGATCTAGTCTCCGGCCCACGAGCTTAGGCTCCAGGCAAGTGTCACTCATCAATAGTAGCAAAGCCAGGAGCCCTACAGGCTCCTCGGCAGATTCTCTTCCACAAACACAAGTTAACCTTGGCAGCAGGGTCACGCTAGTGACTGCACCTGTACCAGGGTCTAGGTCAGATGTGTACAGGGTATTTTGCTAGAGAGTGTACACCAAGGGAACAGGGAACTTGAATACAAGGTCAAATCAGCGACAGCTTGACAATCCAACAGTGCTGACATGTGTCTAACATCAGATACAGACTTTCCAAGGGCAAGTTTCTTTGAAAGAAGGCTTATTCCAGTTTTAGGAGGCTAGCATGAGGTGTATAGATTTGCCTGGGCAAACATATACTAGTGAAAAAAAATACTCATGCAGCAGATGCTGGGCATCCGCTCGCAGTCCATTTAGAAGCATTTGCGGTGGACAATGGAGGGGCCGGACTCATCGTACTCCTGCTTGCTGATCCACATCTGCTGGAAGGTGGAGAGGGAGGCTAGGATGGAGCCGCCGATCCAGACAGAGTATTTGCGCTCAGGGGGAGCGATGATCTGCAAGGCAACAGAGACAAGTCAGCGGCAGAGCCAGGGCTTTGGAGGCCACCTCCCCTCCCGAGTCCCTGGGCATTCGAGAGAGGGTTTGTTCGTGCCCCGGAGGCTGCACCTACCTTGATTTTCATTGTGCTGGGTGCCAGGGCTGTGATTTCCTTCTGCATTCTGTCTGCGATGCCAGGGTACATGGTGGTACCACCAGACAATACTGTGTTGGCATACAGGTCCTTTCGGATGTCTACGTCACACTTCATGATGGAGTTG